TGAGAGTGTGTTCGAGGCCAATGGAAACGAAACTTTGGCAGTTGTGTTGGTGTTGAGGATCACCCAAAGCTAAAATAAATGTTTAGTGTTTTCAAATAGTGGTGGCCCATTTTTTGGCACACAAATCGATGTGTCATTTATATTTCCATTTCAGCTAACTTTACATAGATTTCAATAAAAATCCAGAAACACAAACATACAATAGACATGCCTCACCACCCACAAGCACACACATACAGCGTGCGACTGCAGTGGAATGGGTGTTATAAATTTGTGCGAATACGCCTGATTGGATGGATGGTTGGCTGGACAAATGAATGAATGCTTTAGCTTGTTAGGCAATATATGAATTGAATTGTTGACTCTTGTCGGATATTCAAATTGAAATTTAAAAGCCAACGACAACAAATTTGTATTTATCCGAATATGCCATCATCAATAACAGAGTTTGCAATAGATCAATGCGGCCATGACGGCATATTAAACAGTTGGACAATATATTTCCATTTATCGCATGAGATTTTGATGCAAATCGAATGAATACAGTATAAATGAATATTTAATATTGTATAATTATATCGATTTAAAATAGTATTAAAAAAATTAAAATAGTTTAACAATTGGTTTCAAAATATAATTATTTTGAAGTTTGTTAATTAAAGGGTATTATTTTGATTCCACTGTTAGATATTTGGTTTAAAATTTTAAAATTTATGACATTTATGACGAACTTTAAACTAGTTAGAACGAATTTGGCAATACTCAAAAATAATAAAATTTGTTAAAAATTCTGTTAAAATCTTAAAAATACCGAATATAGCTGTTATATTAGATTCTATACGACGACATGGACCTGCATAGGTAACTTTTGTCATAAGCCATTACAATATTCAACTGCGAAATTAAAAAAGAATCGGTGAATAATGTAGCTAAAATTATGAAAATACCGAATAAAGGGAGGTATTGTTCTATCGGGCCTATACGAAGACGTGGACATGCACAGGCGATTTCCTGTCTTTGACTGTAGTATTCATTACAAACTTCAAATACCAAATTTGAAACAATTCCGGTGAATAATGTCGCTAAAATTATCAAAATACCGAATATCGGAAGATACAGTTATATGGAGGCTATACGAAGACGTGAACCTGCACAGACAATCTTCTGTCATATGCTGTAGCATCCATTACGAACATAAAATACCAATTTTAAAATAATTCCTGTGAATAATGTCGCTGAAATCATCAAAATATCGAATATCGGAAGGTACCGTTATATAGGGGCTATCCCACAACGTGGACCTACATGATCCGTTTTCAATACCAAAAGTCCTGCAGACATTTAATATACATTTGAGTAAAATTTGATCAACCTACTTCATTTCGTTCGGAAACTAGAGTAATTTCCACAGACGGACGGACATCGCTAAATCGACATAGAATTTTATGCCTATCAAGAATATATATAGTTTGTGGGGTCTAAAATGTATATTTCGAAGTGTTGCAAGCGGAATGACAAACTTAATATACGCTCCATATTATGGTGAAGGGTATAAAAAGTTTATTTTATTTAAAAGTAATAGTTTATCCTGATGAAGAGACAGCAATCTACAGGGTGAGATGAAAAAACTGCAACCAATTTCAGACTGCTGTCATTTCTAAGCCACTCGTCCGACAGCTGTAAAAATTATTGCAGTCACAGCTCATTATATTGTCTACAAGCGTACAAAAGCATTTTAATGACAATTTTCCAGAAAAAAAGTTATTCGTTATGGAATTCAGGCGTGATAGTGTGATTTCTTTATATTTGGCTGGAAAACCACAAGTGGCTATCGTTAGTGCACTCCAGCATTTATATGTAAATAAATCTTTTGTGTCTCGTACCATCGCTCGTTACCGTTCGAAAAGTAAAGAAGCGAATTGATCGAAACCCGCGTCGCAGTGGTCGAAAAATGGCTCGTGAGCTGAACATATGGCAATATTCCATTCGAAAATATTGAAAAATGAAAAAAATAAAATAGACTCAAAGGAGCTTAAGAGTTGTTTCGCTTGGCCGAAAGTGGTGAACTGCCCAATTTGGTGTTCTCCGATGAGAAAACATTCGTTGTCCAGCAGTTTGTAAACAAACAAAATGATCGTGTTTACTTTCCAAAGAGATCAGCTGAAAAGTGCACCTTCGGTTGGCCACCAGAACTCAAGCGTGTGGACCGCCACAACAGCCGATTGTCGCTCTCCGCTCGTATTAATCGACCGTGGCATCAGCGCGAGCCATGCAAGAATGATTACAAAATGAGTTTCCTCGCTTCAATTCTAGCGGACAATGGCCAAATAGCATCAAATGTCGGAAATAACATCAAATTGTAGAATAAGTTTAGATTTGTTCGAATCGGTCACCTTTGGCACGAATTGTGGCCATGAAACGGCCAATGAAACCATCACAAGCTGCCCGAATGTTGCTTGCGGTATTTTAGCCCATTCCCGGTGAAGCGCTTGCTTAAGGTGATCCAAACTTTGGTATTTTTTAGTGCCAACCTTGCTTTCCAAAATACTCCAGACACAATAGTCCAACGGATTGGTAGCCGGAGATTTTGTTGGCTAATGTGCGCTGGAAATGAAGCAAGGAACTTCATTTTGTAACTATTCTTGGGTGGCGCGTGCTGAGTGCGATGGTGCTGAGTCCGGTTGGAATGTCCAAGGTCTGCGAACAAAATGTTTGCGTGCTCAAGGTTTTAATACACCCTCCAGAATATCTTCGCTATAATATTCGGCATTTATTCTGATGCCACGGTCGAATAATAGGAACGGAGAGCGACCATCGGCTGTTATGGCAGCCCCCACCATCACCATGGTCGGCACTTGAGTTCTTGTGGCCAACCGCGGATGCATATTTTCAATTTACCTCTTTGGCAAATCGATAATTTTATTTGTTTACAAACTGCTGGACAACGAATGTTTTCTCATCGGAGAAAACCAAATTCGGCAGTTCACCACTTTCGGCCAAGCGAAGCAACTCTTTAGCCCTTTTGAGGCTATTTTCTTTCTGTTGCGGTGTAAGTGCTTGCATTTTTTTTTTTTTTTTTTTTTTTGAATTTCAATGGCTTTACCCCGAGCTCATTTTTCAATATTTGGCGAATGGAATATTGCAATATGTTCAGCTCACGAGCCATTTTTCGGCCACTGCGTCGCGAGTTTCGATCAAATCGCTTCATTACTTTTCGAACCATTTCTGCTGATGTTGCTGTTCGTCCACTTCCTTGCTGGAGTGCTCTAACGATAACCATTTCTGGTTGGTGTTTTTCCAGCCAAATATAAAGAAATCGAACTATCACGCTTGAATTCCATCACGAATAATCTTTTTTTGGAAAATTCTCACCAAAATGTTTTTGTACGCTTGTAATCAATATATTGAGCTGTGGCTGGAATAATTCTAACACGTGTCGGACGAGTGGCTTAGAAATGGCAGCAGTCTGAAGTTGGTTGGTTCATCTTACCTAGTATATATGTAAACGAAATATATCTTAGTTATACAGAACCGCTGGGCTGATTTACACAATTCTCATAAATTCGGAATGGTCTCTTGCCAGAAAAGGATAAAATCTAAGAAAATCGAGTAAAAATACGCCAATAAATAATGCCATTTTTAAAATATACATTTTCTAAAATATTTCTACATCCTACAACACTATGTGTACAGGTAGCAATTATCGTGCGATCCTGACGAAATTTTGGAAATAAATTCATTTAACATAAATAAATTCCTCTTTCAGCATACGATGTTGCGGGCATGTTCTAGTCAGTTATATTATATAAATATAACAAATGTGGAAGAGGGGAGAAATTATTCCCTATGTCGAGGTTATTTGCATTGCTAACTTTCAAAACAGCTTTACTCTTGCTTTCTATTTTTAGCTATACTTTCATAGTCTACTAATTTTTTCAATTTTCAATTTTTTCATTGAATTTTATTCTATACCAGCACAAAGTAGACATTTGGTTTATAATTGCAATATTCTGCACGATAAATATCCTTAGGGCTTTAGTAAATTTTAATTTATAATATTCTTAATTAGCTTGTAACATATCAAACTTTATTCAATTTATGCCAACCATCCGCACACACACACGCATCGTCTGCAATATGCTTAATTTACAACCACATTTTTGTCTAAACATTCCACATTATCATATTATCTACTTTCGTTCCCGAACGTGTTGCATTTGACTTTTACAGACACACAAACACACGAACTTTTTTCGAAAAGTTTACAAATTGTTTTCTATTTCAATGATTAATCTTTATCGTCTATTAGCGTTCGTTGAACACACATTTTAAATGGGTTCATTATACAGATTAAAAACTTGGGGATATATATTAGAAAATATGATCACGACATTAGCATAAGCAATCGACTGTGATGAAGCCAGGCACGTAGACAGACATTCGATTAGAAAACTCAATCATTGCCCGCCAGAGCAGTCAACTGTTTAAATGACTTTGGAGAGAGAGCGAAAGAAAAAAAAACAACAATTTTATCAATATTTACGATATTCAATAATAGAGCGAAACGAATGAACGAAAGGAGGAACGAACGAAACAATGTAAATGCCAACAATTTAGCTAATTTACAACAAACTTCATTGCATTACACCCCCCTATGCAATGGCATCACATTCTCTGGCAAATATTCGCAGAGAACAAAAAGGACTGACTGCACCATCAATGGCAGTTGATACAATAACAACAACACCGACATCAGTGCCATAGAGTTACATGCCATAACTTACATACTTAACTAACTAACTCTCCCACCTTGTACTCTCCTCTCTGTGAAATTGTCCCCAACACACACACACACATAAACATATTGTAAGACTTTAATGACCTAGTCAATGGTAGTTTTGTGGTATTCACAGCGGGGAGAGTATGGGGGGTTCACATTGTTTTTCTCTACTCACTCTCTGTGTCTCTTTTAAAAAAAACAACAACTTTTATCTACTCACCATGAATATGTTCCAGTACAAAAACACCATTATTATGCAGGGTATATAGAATGAGCTTAGCGATGAGTAAACTATAAAATCCGTATTGTAGAACATACAGAGACTGGGATCACGATCCGGTGTATTGTTGAGACCTAAGACTATGGGAGAACCAATGGCTGCTGATATCGCCCATACCATGACAATGGTTAAGCAGACACGTCGACTGTTCCGATGCTTGGCATATTTTATTGGTTGTGTCACAGCGATATATCTGTGGAGAGAAAAAAATTGAAAAGGGGAAATTAATTGGAAAAAATCAGAATTAAGATTTATAAAACAATTAAGGTGGAAAATTATATGGTCGGATAAAATTGATGATGTGGTATCATACAATATACGAGTTCCTCTGCCAAAAAAGCAGAATATACAAATAAAAGAAATAATCCCAAAATAACGTCTACATGAACAAAGTGAGACCGAATCAAGGAACAATCCTATTTAAGCTATAACACTCGGATCGATCTGATTTTTTTTCTGTAGATAGATCTTGGTCTTCTGATTACAAAAATGTAAATTTTACTGGTGATAATCGATTATCTGGTTATTGGACCGAAAGTTCGGGTAAAAAAACGACATATAACCGGTTTTTAGAACCTATTCAAATATGTAGCAAATTTTTATTTACAGGTTACAAAACTGGAGCAAAAAACAATATCAAGTCGGACCTTAAGATTTTCTCCTATATACATACAGGGTGAGATGAAAAAACTGCAACCAAATTCAGACTGCTGTCATTTTTAAGCCACTCGTCCGACAGCTGTTAAAATTTTTCCAGTGACAGCTCATTATATTGTTTATAAGCGTACTGAAGCATTTTGGTGAGAATTTTCCAGAAAAAAAATTTCTCGTGATGGAATTCAATAGTGTTATTTCTTTATATTCGGCTGGAAAGCAACAAGTGGCTATCGCTAGAGGACTCCAGTATTTAAATGTGAATAAATCTTTTGTGTCTTGTACCATCGCTCGTTACGGTGATACTGGTAGCGTAGCCCGACGTCAAGAAAGTGATCGGAAAAAAAAAACAGCAATTTCAGCAGAAATGGTTCGAAAAGTAAAAAAGCGACTTGATCGAAACCCGCGTCGCAGAGACCGAAAAATGGCTCGTGAGCTGAACATATCGCAATATTCCATTCGGAAAATATTGAAAAATGAGCTCGGGGTAAAGCTATTGAAATTCCAAAAAGTGCAAGAACTTTCACCGCAACAAAAAGAAAATAGACTCTAAAGAGCTAAAGAGTTGCCTCGCTTGGCCGAAAGTGGTGAACTGCCTTATTTGGTTTTCTCCGATGAGAAAACATTCGTTGTCCAGCAGTTTGTAAAGAAACAAAATGATCGTGTTTACTTGCCGAAGAGGTCAGCTGAAAATGTGCACCTTCGGTTTTCCACCAGAACTCAAACGCCGGCCATGGTGATGGTGTGGGCCGCCTTAACAGACGAAGTTCGCTCTCCGCTCGTATTAATCGACCGTGGCATCAAAATAAATGCCGAATATTATTCTCGAAATATTAAAGCCTTGTGAAAAAATATTAAAGTCTTGGGCACGCAAGTATTTCGGCTGCAGACCTTGGACATTCCAACAGGACTCAGCACCATCATACTCAGCAGGCACCACCCAAGTATGGTCACAAAATGAGGCTCCTCGCTTCATTTCCAGCGCAAAATGACCACAAAAATCAGCGGATACCAATCCGTTGGACTATTGTGGAAAGCAAGGTTGGCACTAAAAAATACCAAAATGTCGATCACCTCAAGCGAACGCTTCGCCGGGAAGGGGTCAAAATACCGCAGAGCAACATTCTAGCAGCGTGTGACGGTTTCAATGGCCGTTTGAAGGCCATAATTCATAGCAAAGGTGACCAATTCGAACAAATATAAACTTGTTCTAAAATTTGATGCTATTTCCGACATGTTTTGCTTTCTTTCGATAACATTTAAAAAATGTAAAAATTATGACGTTTTACTTTGTTGTAGTTTTTTTCTCGCTCTGTATTGAAAGAGGTCGTGGAGTTACTGCATCATTTTCCCTTAGGTCTTGTTTGAGTAAAAGATTTTCTGGCCTTTAATATTTGGAAGACATTCTGCATTTCTTTCTATAGAAAATCGTCTTGACTCCTACCAGGAAAGAGGAATCTGGTCTTGTAATCGGAATGCCGCCTTAGTCTTCAGATAAAAAGTTGTCTGGTCTTGCATGAAAAGATCTCCTCGTGTTTTAGGGGAGGCCTTTTAGTTATATACGTGAATTTTTTAACGAAAACAGATTCTGTATTTCTATGATAAGGCACCCAGTCTTTCATGGTGATACCCTCTCTTCCCCTATGATAGATCCTCCGGGACATAATTTGTAAACTAAGTGGTTACCCATGAGAATAACATTTCTCCAGCTGGCCTTGTTTGGGTAAACCCTTAAGTTTCATATGAAAATTCCTTGTGTTCTCCACGAAAAATAGACTGGCTTGTATGATAAATCCGTCTGGTACATATGAAGAGTTTATTGAGTTTTTTATTTGAATACCATTTCTACTATAATTTTAAGGCCTCTTTTCTATGAAACATTAAAAAATGTGTAAGTTCGGCCGGGGCTAACTTTGAATACCCTACTTGGAACTAATTTGGCAATTCTGAAAAAAATAATAGCCGTTATATTAGGGTATATACGACGACGTGGACCCGCATAGCCAACCTTTGTCATAAGCCATTACAATATTCAAATGAGAGACTTGAAAAAAATTCGGTGATAAAATCGTCAAAATACAGAATTTAGGGAGGCATCATTATATGGGGGCTATACGAAATCGTGGATCTGCGCAGACAATTTTCTATCATAGGCTGTAGTATCTATTACGAACTTCAAATACCAAATTTGAAACAATTCAGGCGAATAATGTCGCTAAAATTATCAAAATACCGAATATCGGGGGTACTGATATATGGGGCCTATACGAAGACGTGAACCAGCACAGACAATTTTTTGACTTAGGCTGTAGTATTCATTGCGAACTTTAAATGCCAAATTTGAAACAATTCCGGTGAATAATATCGCTTAGATCAGCAAAATACCGAAAATAGGGGGTATCATTATATAGGGGCTATACCAAAACGCCGACCTGCATGAGCTTCTTTTCGAAAGGATTTGTGGAGTAATCGATGAAAGGTATTTATTTTTGTCGAATAAACAGAGGATGCCTCCTGGTCTTCTTGGAGTAAAAACAATTAAGCAAAGGCTATAGTCGTGCGGGGCCGACCATGTGATACCCTACAACACTATAATGTGTTAGAAAACCCCTTATTCCCATATCCATTTTGGAAGATTTTGCTTGTGAAATTATGTCACAAAGCACTGCTTAGATATTACCCTTAGCATTTTGACCAGGGACATTTGCCCAATATCTACGCACTCCGTCGTACTGTTACTTGTTGTGGCCATTGTCAATGGTCATCCAAAATGCTAGAATTTTTCCCTGTTCTTAACTCTCTTCTCAGGCGTGTCGATTGGCTTTAATTGTGTAATCAGGAATTTTTTTCTGTTTTTGATTCTAAATATTTTGGATTCATCTCCAAAATCAAGAGACCCTGTATCTCCAAAGTTAAACTCATCTCATGTCGACGATATTTGGCTACATTCTTTAACGAAATCAGTATAAAAAGCCAAGATATCGTCTGTATGTAATGTTGGTATTTTTTTTTTCCAATAATGATGAACCATTCTATCCTAAACTCTAACTTTATGCGAGATTTCGTATCCTGTGGTTTTTATTTGTGACCCTTATAATAACTGCAAAATCAGGGACACTTTTAGTTTTTGGTCCATTTTAACCCCTAAATATATTGCGGACATCTATGAAAACAATAGGCCTAGCCCTTCTGAGCCTAACCCTACCCCTATGAAAATTTTCATGAGGATCGGATGATAATTTTAATGTGTATATAATAACCCTAACCTGTATGTACACTTCAATATTATAAATCTAATTGAAAAAATCGCATGCGATAAAAATATGAAAAAAATAAAAACTGTCACAAAATACTACAAAATCTGTATAAACATCAGTATTGACATTTTTCAATGCGATTTTTTTTACTTTTATATACTTTTATGCCAAGAGCGCATTCTGAATTGACAACATTTGTTAAAATCGGTCCAGCCATTCTTGAGGCATAATACTAGCTAGCATCCCCTTCCTTTGTATATACAAATTTCATATATTTCGCTATATATAAGCGAAAGTTAATAGGCATCTACGTAACGGTCAGAATTGACATGTTCGTCTATTTGTGATTACGACGGGATTGAAAATATTCGCGGTTTAATAGAAAATTTGACTTTTATTTAACACAAATGTTATGTTCTATTTCACCCACTAAATATTGGCCGATGACAATAAAAATTGCAAGGCTTCTGCCCAGCCCTAAGGTTTAGCCCCATGCTAACTCCCGCGTCGATTGGTCTATAATTGCGACCTGTAGAACAACTGCAAAATCATTAAATTTTTCAATATTTGGTCCATTTCAACCCCTAAATATTATGCGATCATCTCCAAAAACAATAGGGCTCTATTCTGACCCTATCCCCACCTCCATTTTCAATTTCGTGATGATCGGGCTATAATTGCGACCTGTAACGTGATTACAAATGAACGTGGACAGACGGACGGACGGACATACATAGCTAGATTGACTCAGCTCGGCGAGTCGATCCATATATACTTTCCTATGTGGGAAATCAATGTTTCGAGGTGTTACATAATTTTTTAACTAATCAAAATTATAATACCCCCAACACAAAGTGTTGTAGGGTATAAAAATTAATGACTAACTACCTTATAGGTAGAACCCCTTGAATAAGTAAAATCTAAATATTATCACATAACCGCCGTTAAAAATAAAGGCAACATGGTACTTTTTATCTACATTTACAAATCATAAAATATTGATTATTTTGTGCTACACTTTTGCGTAAAAAATCCTGTTTTTCATTACATGAATAGAAGTAAATAATAATTTATGAGAATATCGGCTGGTTGGTTTTTACAGTGGTTGAATGGTTGATATTGTACATAAGAGTGTTCTGAATTAATAATAATACAATTATATTGATTAATGAGTACAGTAATGCAACGTAAAATCGTATATTCAATTGAGGATAATCCGAAAATAATTGTGTCTTCATTTGATTTTTTTTTTTTTCAATTAATTTCCAATCTTAAGGTTTATTGCAAAATTCTCTTTCAGGCTGCGATTATAAGAGAATATATATATTTTAATAATATGTTTTTTTAGTTCTTATTAAGTTCGATCCATCCTCATATGACAATATCGCATTATTCAACCACACGAACAACATTTAATTTCATACTTTACCTGTCTACTGATATTGCAACTAAATTAAAAATCGATGAAGTGGAACATATCACATCCATGGCTATATAAAAATCACACGCAAAATATGGTAAGCCCCATGTAACGTTTACCTGCAAAGAGAACAACAAACAATGAGACAGTGGGAGACAGAGAGATGATAAAACAATAATGAATTTAAACAATTATTTAAACAAACACACATCCTCCCTCACACACCCCACACATCCGCATCCATACAAAGTTTTACAAACACAGCATAAAAGAAATGTATTAATATTGAACACATCACATGCAGTAGCATGGATTCATTGATGACACGTACATACATACGTATGAATGTGTTATGTGAGGATGTGTTTGTATACACATATTGCTCATTTCATGACAATTTCATTTTCATCGTTGATTGGTGGCAGCAACCGATGCCAATAAGAAATTCTTGGAACTATTATGATGTTATACGAATGGAGAGAACAATAAAATATGGCATTGTATGTTGTTTGCATACAAACATGCTATTGTAGATATGAGTGTATATTGTGATGGTAACGTATACATGTGTGACTATTAGCATGGTATTTCTTAGGAGGATTTTAGTTTTAAAAATAGTATATTTTTTGCAAATTTCAGAAATTGCAAATTGTGATATTTGGCATCAATAAGAGTTAATAAATTTGACCATGCCTGGGTTTATTCACTGCTTCCCTTTACTTCCTAAATTTGCAATGTTTGGAATTTCTCAGCTACAACTTCCAATCCAATGGAAATATCTGCAAAACTTGTTAAATACAGGTCTACTCTTGAGAACCCAGTTCCAAGACTCTTTAAAAAATGTAGGTATTCAATCGAGTATCTCCCCAACAAAGAGTCAAAGTTTGGAAAAAAAAATATTAATCTTATAAAATATAAAATAAAACTTCAATTGTCCTCAAGATTTGTTATAAAGATGTTAGATTTCGGACCAGTCTTTCAACCATAAAGTGTCAATATTTTGAATAACCAAAACGATCAAAAAATGCTCTTCATATTTCATACAACCCATTATTTCTGCTAAGACATGATCTGCTATGACGATGGGATGGGGTCCACTCCTTCTGGTACCTCACCCACAAAGATCACAATCTTCAATTGCGAAATAATTCTAAATATTTCCCTCAACAAGAAACCTGTGTTGAATATGGATTTTATGATTTCGCATAAAATTCGAAATAAATGTTCGATTTTTTGTAATTTTGCCCATACAAATACTTATACCCTACACCACTTAGTGGTAAGGGTGTTATGTCTTTGTGCACTTGTTCGTAAAATGGATGAGAAAGCGAGATAGACTCATAGTTACTTTTGCGGATCTTCACAGAATCGCTTCCTGAGTCGATTTATGCAACTCAGTCGGTCTGTCCGTCTGTCTATGTATTTTTCTGAACAAAATGCATGTCGCATTTTTATTCGATTGAAATGAAATTTTCCAAACAATACAGGGTGAGATAAAAAACTGCAACAAACTCAAACGCCATAATTGTTACCTTTTTTTAATTTTATTGAATGGAAGTAAAAAATTTCGGAAATAGCACCAAATTTTAGAATAAGTTTAGATTTGTTCGAATTAGTCACCTTTGGCACGAATTATGGCCTTCGAACGGCCAATGAAACCGTCACACGCTGCCCGAATGTTGCTCTGCGGTAGCGCTTGCTTGAGGTGATCGACACTTTAGTATTTTTTAGTACCAACCTTGCTTTCCAAAACACTCCAGGCACAATAGTCCAACGGATTGGTATCCAGAGATTTTGGCGGTGCACTTGAAATGAATCGAGGAACCCCATTTTGTAACCATTCTTGGGTGGCGCGTGCTGAGTGGGATGGGGCTGAGTCCTCTTGGAATGTCCAAGGTCTGCGGCCAAAATGCTTGGTTGCTCAAGGCTTTAATGCACCCTCCATAATATTTTGGAGATAATATTCGGCATTTTTTCTGACGCCACGGTAGAGTAATACGAGCGGAGAGCGACCATCGGCTGTTATGGCGGCCCACACTATCGCCGGCGCTTGATTTCTCATGGCCAACCGAAAGTGCACATTTTCAGCTGACCTCTTTGGCAAGTAAACACGATCATTTTTTTTTTTTTTGTTTACAAACTGCTGGACAACGAATGTTTTCTCATCAGAGAAAACCAAATTCAGCACTTTACCACTTTCGGCCAAACCAAGCAACTCTTTAGCTCTTTTGAGTCTATTTTCTTTCTGTTGCGGTAGAAGTTTTTGCAGCTTTTTGGAATTTCAATGGCTTTGCCCCGAGCTCAGTTTACAATATTTGCCGAATGGAATATTGCGATATGTTCCGCTCACGAGCCACTACGACACGGGCTTCGATCAAGTCTCTTCTTTACTTTTCGAATCATTTCTGCTGAAGGTGCTGTTTTCCTCCGTCCACTTCCTTCACGTCGGGCCTGCTACCAGTATCACGGTAACGAGACACAAAATATTTATTCACATTTAAATGCTGAAGTGCTCTAACGATAGCCATTTCTGGCTTTTCAGCTAAACATAAAGAAATCACACTATGACGCTTGAGTTCGATCACGAATAACTTTTTTCCTGGAATTTCTCCCCAAAATGCTTTTATAGGTTTGTAAACAATATAATCAGCTTTTACTGGAATAATATTAACAGCTATCGGACGAGTGGCTTAGAAATGACAGAAATCTGAAGTTAGTTGCAGTTTTTTCATCTCACCCTGTATTAGTTTGGGCCAAGGATTTCGGATTAGTAATGCACCAAATGGCTAATATCAGTCCAAATGACTTGAATTTTGACACATCCGACCGAATTCAGTCTAGTTTGTGTTCAGTATCAAATCAGTTCAGATATAGCTATAGCTCCCACATATAACGTCCGATTTATGACATTAAGTGTCTCACATGCGTAATAGAGACTCCACAAGAATAATATTTGGTACCGGGCATCAGATACTTCTCGAAAATACCTTTGCCAAATTTAAAGGAGATCGGTTCAGCTTTTTATATAGCTTCGATATGAATCTTCGTCCGCTTTTAAGGCTATTGCTCACAGTATATATAATACCAGTCCAAATTGAATAAATTTCTTCATATTCAACCTAATTTTTCCCTTGGTGGATATCTATTCGGCATATCTATTTCTCCAATAAATAGTTTTAAATATAATCCTTATCGAAGTCGTATCGTTCACTATACAGCAATATTATTTGGTTCATAGTTGGTATGATCTACTTCACATAAATTCCTAATATAAACTTTTTTGTTAAGTGAGCTCTACTAAATACCCAAAGTGGTGTAGCCTTTCCTTACTGGTTTTATCTGTATTAGATGGGATATCAAAATGGAATATATTCTTTCCGCTTTATCTGGTTTCAGTATTTACAAAAAAAATTATCACATACCTCATATAAAGTGAAGGAATTACTCAATATATTCCAAATCTTGCACGTTAGGTTTGATGTGAAATGAATAATATTGACCCACCTGCGGACCACCCCCGTATAGAGTCAGCAGTTTGAATAATTATAATAAAACCAACTGATACTTTTTAACTTGATGAATGTATCTTCGTTATCAGCAAAAAAAACCAAAAACTATCAGATATATCAGCAGACCATAATCTACTTTTTGATATGTTTACGATTTAAAATATATTAAATTTTCACATAGAAATCTAAATAATTTTACATATATTTTGTATGAAATATGAAACTCTCTTTGGGTCATATTTGCCATAACAAACATTCACTTTAATTAAATTTTTGCAGAACATATCAACACCACTTTAAAGTGGAATTACTCTTACTGAGAAACTCAAATTAGAAAAAAACTACACTTTCCCGCTCATAAATATCCTCTTTCACGCATACACATATATATTTACAATAATAATTGCCTGAAGGGATTTTAACCAATAATCAGCATTCGATATATTTATGTATTTTTCATGGGAAATAAAAGAATGGTTTAAAATTGATTTTCTTTGTGGAGAGACCAACCACAGCCATTTTAAAGCTTAAAATCTGGTTGGTTGGTTGGTTTTTTAACCAAACCTCGCGAATAAAAAGGGGTAAATGTAATTATGAAAACTGAATGTGGAACAAACTGGAGTGTTTGTTTTGTCATATGTTAATGAAATAACGCTAAAAAGGATTTACTGAAAAATATGGGAATGAATTTTATATATTGAATGCGTAGTGGGGTACATGGTGGCGTATGATAAATAAAGGTAAACAAATACAGTGATCATACGCATCAAAACCTCGTAGTACATAAAGGGACCCAAAAACAATATTATAATTAATGCAATTGTTAAAAATAACGTAATACAAACAATAAAAAATTAACGCATTATTGTTAATATTTATAATGGAGAGGGTTTAAAATTTGTAAAGTCCAGTCATTAATTTTATGAATAAAGAGGAAATGAAGGGATTAAACTGATTGCTTTTGAAGATCTGCAGCAAGATCTAACTTTATAAACCGGCCATCAACAAGCCGCACAAAATGATGAAAATGAGGGGTCCTCAAACATTTCATTCTCCACAATATTGGAGTGTTTTGGAACCCATTAATAAGTATTAAGTATATAACATAATATAAGCATTTATAAGCAGTTTCCAATAATTTTTATCCCATTGGAGTTTTTCAATATTTTATGATTTCTCTCTATTTATGGCCGAGAATAAGTTAAACGTTCACGGCACCAGAAGAAAGGTCTTAAGCTACACGAGGAAACGTCATTCCCTTATTTGAATTTTGATTTTGTATAGTCGACATCAAATTCGTCAGTTAAAATGTTAGACTATGCTCAATGATGACATCAATCAAATAATAAGCAGTCAGTTTGTCATATCTCTTTAACCTCGACTATGAATATAAATGTTTGAATCAGTTACAAAGAACAAAAGGCAATTAATTTTTTAAGATGAGCTATGTCTGGCAATGAAGTACTTAACAAAATATTCTATTAAATGTGGGATAATTGTGAAGATTTTATTAAAGAATTTGCGATTTTTGGGCTGAAAATAGTTGAACAAACTTAGAAAAAAAATTGTCAGAAAGTTTTCGAGTTTTTAAAATGAGGTTAAAAAGTATC